GCTGGGGAATTCTGGGAGTTGAAGTCCACACAGCTTGAAGTTGCTGAGGTTGAGAAACACTGGTCCACTTAGATACATGGTGACAGCTTCTATCCTTAGAAATGTTCCACATCTCTCTACTAATTTGGATTTATTTGCAAGGAAATACCAACAAAGAGAAGAGATGGAACATACTTGGTCAGGATTTGGAAGACTGACTTGAGGAGATGAAAGAGATGATTATCCCTGCAATGAAGCAAGAACCAAGGTTTTAGAGTTTAGGTAAAGCTTTAGGGAAGGGCTGTGATTTGACACCTGCAGATTCTGCTAACAAAGGCTGTAGAATGTTCTTCCTTGAAGCATTTCAAGCAAATATGATCCGTCCAACATCTGTCACACGTAGCCTGCAGATTTCTGGACTAGATGATATGTGGCCTTCTTTTCATCTTTGATTTTTGTCTGCTTCTCTCTTTGGCAGTGTGCCAACCTTCAGGGTGTAAAGATGCTATGCTCAAATGCAGAGGGAGCATCACTGAAAAGCTGCAATTTTGAAGACCCTTCTGGCCTTAAAGCTAACCTGGAAGGTAAACGCTACCAATCCTGCCTTTTCTTTTTAAGTAATGCACTCCGTGTCATTCAGGAAAGGTTGACATTTTCTGATCATTAAAGGTCAATCATTAAAAACAAAAATGAAGCATTAATCAAGATCGGCATATAACATGGTGAAAAGAAGTTGCTTTCAGAGCAGAGGAGAAGTAACTCAGTAGCAGAGCATCTGCTTTGTTGAGAAAAGGTCCAATTTAAATGAGCAGGAAGCAGAGAAGGAAAGAATTTGCTACCTGAAATCCAGCACAGCTTACACTCATTTAACAAATCATGGCTGAACATGTTGCATGGTACGTGGCTTAGAAACCATCATGGCTAGGTTTTCATGGCTCTACCCAACTTCTGAGCCCAGGGATAAGCAGATTTTAAGAAGAAAAAGCAACATGATGATAAATCCAACTCACAAATATTAATTAAACATACAGGTGGCATAACATGTACTGCTGCACTTCATATCCTCTTGAACAATTTCTGAAGGACTGTGACTTCCATTACTTATACACTTGTACTTTGCATAATATCATCATCATCATCATCATCCCAGGTCCTTGGGAAAAACTTGATAGGTGGATAAAAATGCCAAATCCTGTCTAAACATCTGGCTGACTGTGCAACCAACAATAATTTATTAAACTTGTATGCCATCCTACTCTCAATGACTGGGTGGCTCACAACAATCAAGCAAAGAATTCACAATAAAATCATAAAAGATAAAGATAAAAGATGGCAAGCTTTTATAGTTGGATAACTTAGTTTGTTAATGAACGATGGTTTCCTAAGTTGTTTTTTTCTGTTTACTGGAAGAGGTAGCAGAACATGACAGAATTTAGTTTGTGTATAATATTTTCAATGGTTCAACCAACATGAAAGTTATCATTCTTTGCTACATCTTGTAGTAGGACGCAGAGGAACTGGGGAGAAGGACAGTTCTATCGTGTCTTTTGATGGTCTTGAACTTTGCGGCTACAGGTGCCAACTTGAAAGGGGTTGATATGGAAGGAAGTCAGATGACTGGCATCAATCTCCGAGTTGCAACTCTAAAGAATGCAAAATTGAAAAACTGCAACTTGAGAGGAGCCACCCTAGCAGGAACTGACTTGGAGGTGAGAGCTCTTTCTTCCAGGTTTTGATTAACCCCTGGGAGTTGAAACATGGGCTTCATTGGGGGTTTCCTTCAGTCTCAACTTTAATGGGCTTAGTGGCTGGCCATGGTATTTTGTATGCGATTCATACAATATCTAAACTTCTGCTAACAGCTTGCTCTGTTGTTTTAGAACTGTGACCTGTCAGGCTGTGATCTTCAAGAGGCCAACCTGAGAGGGTCGAATGTGAAAGGAGCCATCTTTGAAGAGATGCTGACACCATTGCACATGTCTCAGAGCGTCAGATAGGTTACTGGCAGAACAAGAGCCCCGCTGCAGACTGTTGGTGCTCAGTGTGGGGAATGACATTCCTTCCACAGTGTGTTTTTCTCAGTGTGATCTGAGGAGCTGCTGCTGGGTGGGGAGAGGGACTTTCCCCTGTCTTAGGCATAGGAATAGCTATTGAATCCAGTTGGGACAAGAAGCTTGCTCTTAATTCCCAAGGACATTGCTGCCTTGGCTCTACCTTGCTCTAGAACACTTCTTAAGAAATATATTTATGAAAGCACAATATATGCAATTTATATTTATTCAACTTCCAATGTGGATTTTTAAAAAATGATCAGTTCACACATAGTAGCAAGATCTCTGGCGTTCAGCCTGGATTGGTGAACCTTTATTTATAGTGGCTCATTAAATGGGGGAAGGGGAGGAGTTGGAGAATTGAAAGGTACCCAGATTTGAAACTTCTTGGCAAAACAGAAACAGCTGTATCTCTTAAAGAATCATAATGGATAAGCTTTGGGTCTTATTTTAAACCAGTTATGCAGTACAGGTAGTCCTCGACTTACGACCATAGTTGGGACCAGAACTTCTGTTGCTAAGCTGTGGTTGTTAAGTGAGTCGCATTTGATTTTACAACCATTTTGCTGCTACTGTTAAGCAAATCTGGCTTCCCCTGTTGACTTTGCTTGTCAGAAGCCCCCTGGGAAGGTTGCAAATGGTGATCATGTGACCCCCAGGACGCTGCAACCCTCATAAGTACATGCTGGTTGCCAAGCGCCTGAACTTTGATCACATGACTGTGGGGACACTGTGATAGTTTCACAGTCCCCACAGTGCAAGGACTGGTCGTAAGTCACTTTTTTCAGTGCCAGTGTAATTTCAAACGGTCATTAATCGAATGGTCGTCAGTTGAGGAGTACCTGTAACTTAAAATAGCTAAGCTCTGAATGCTGTACAGTATGTGTGGTTTCCCTGACTTAGAGCAGTGTAGCTCTAATGAGGGAGACTGAATGCTCCATTTTTAAGATGTGCTGCTCATTTCTAATAGCTGGGAATTGAATGAGCAAATGCGGGGCAGAAGCTCCTGTGAGCCCCAAATTGCTACGGTGTACTTTTTTTTATTGTCACTGGGCATACAAGCACCTACATCTTGTGGCCTTGATCTGTTAGAAGTGAGTCAGTCCCTCTTAGATCAGCATTGGTGAAAGTACATCCTGAACATTGTAATAGGCTGGTGCTGTTGAAGGTTTCCAGCACAGTGGAATAATGCCCTGCCCTTGATTTCTTCAACTTTTCTTAGTCAAAAGTTGAGTGAGATGCCCTGGGGACCCTGGGTAAAGTAGGGAGGGTTCAGAAATAGCTCAATCTACTTTACACAGTGTCTGTTGTCAGAGATACTGGGAAATAAAGGGCTGGGAACATAGGCAGCAAAAAGATGCCTAGAAAATATGGAAATATTATGAAGAAAGGAAAGTCAGAGGTAATTCACATACTGCATGGTTGCACACCACCCCCACTGTCTTTGTGCTTTTTTAAAAAAGATGGGAAAAGAACTTCAGAAAGCCTCCAAAAAGGGGTTGAAAAATTCAGCTCTGCCATTCCAGTTACGCTCATACGAAACAAGGAACACCCTCAGCAGCCATCCGTCCCAAGAAATAAACCAGAGTTAGCTTTATTTTTCCCAGTGCAGATATCTCAACTCTAAGACCTGATCTTAAAGGTACTTCCCTACCCCACCGCCAAACCTTTTTATGTGCCTATGCAAAGCAAAAGATGAACCATCATCATATTTTTATAGGAAAAAAAAAATCAAGGAATAAGGTGTTTTTTTTTAAATGCGAATGGGAGCTAATGTTTCATCAGCCTATAGATCTGGAACTGGTGCTGTATTCTTAGATTGCAATTCTCATCCATTGGCCTTAGCCGACTCACTGGGGCTGATGGGAAATGTAGTTCAACACAACCTTGTTACTCAACCTGGCCTTATATATAAACAAGTTTCAGTTGCAACAGAAATAAGATTCCAACTATATTCTTCCTTCTAGAGTATGATTAGGAAATCTGATGCTCTCTAGATATCTTGGGCTACAACTCTCATAAGCCCCATAGCAGCTCACAAACCCCTAACCTGTACACATTTCTAGCTGAGTTACAGAAACAGACTAGTAGTGGATCTTCCTGTTAAAATAGCCAGGGCAAATGGGATTTAAATGGGATTTCACCATGATTGGGATCACATATCATGCTAAGCTATGGGCTTGTTAAATAAACCTGAATTGGAAAATTTGCATAATGCGCTCAGCCAGGCAAATCACATTATAGCCTACAAATTCCCTGTGAGGTCAATACAGAACATTTCAATGATCTCTGGGCCTGTGAACCTACAGCCAGAAAGTGCACACTTAGAAATAAATGAAGTTGGGTGGAGCCAGAGCACTTACAGACTCGGGGCTGCAATCAACATCAAAAGGTAGAGATTGAAGGAAATGAATGCCGCTGAATGAGTTAATGGCTGCGGAATTGCGTCCTAGAAAAGCGAAGGAGGCTAAAATCTATCCTCCTCCAATGTAGCTGCATTTAGAGGTGGTGAGCTATCAATTCCCAACAACTGCAGTCAGCATGGGCCGCGCTGGCTGAGGATGATGAGCTTTGTAATTAACCAGTCTGGACACCAGTTGATAGATACCTGCAGGAAGAATCCAGAGTGCTTCCCGTAGTTTTTGATTCAGCTTGCGTGTGTATAAGGAAACGGGGTTGTAGAGCGTGGGAGTGTGCTAACCACATGGAATCAAGTCATTGGAATACACATGCCCTTTTTGTTACATGGTTATATGGTTTTTGTTTTGGGTTTTTTGCCTCATTTAGGCATGCATTAAAAGCTCTGGGAAAAGCTTCCCTTTTCTTTTCCATAGGGAATGATGACAGTGTGAAACATGCTTTCGGTCCCTTGTTTTTCATCCTAAGCCACAAATGGAGGCTGGGTGGACAGTCCATGCTGAATGATGCCTACCATCCAACTTTTTAAAAAATGGCCAAGAAGATGCTTAAATTACAAGAATATCGGTAGCGCTTAGAGTGAACTGTACTTTCGTGACCCTTGAATGAAAAACTACTAGCAAATGGCTTGTCTTGAATTCCCAGTCTTCCGTATGATGGAACATGGCTTAATCATTTTGAGTGGTTTTTGAACTGGGTTGGTCTGGCAGCTTGGATTTAGGATATTCAACAACAGCAACAATAAAACTGGTGCTTCTAATTTCACCAAAGTATTGGGGGGGGGGGGCAGAGAAAGAATGACATTGTTTCAAGGGTACCAAACTAATCTTTACAAGGACATAATGAGGACTTTCGAGTTTGAAGAAATCACTTTAGCCTTGTTACCCCCATTCTCTTAATCACGTATATCTCAGAAAAGAGTAAGATCTCTTATTACAGAATTCTATTTTCTTAATTTTCTGTGTGTAAGTTGTATCCATTTTGTTGAAGCTGAATGTCTTAAATAATCACAATATGTTCACTTGTGCATAAGAGATCTTCATAACTACCTTGGTCAGAACATGGAGTACACACAGTATAAATAAAGAATATCAGAAACTTGCAAACTTTTGTCTGTGAATTGGAAAAGAACACTGTTTAAGATTAGGTGGGGAAGTTTAATCCATTTGGCCTTTGGATTTATAAGTACTTTGATATTTTGTTGTTAAAGGCGATGAGAGGGGGTTCCTAGCATCATAAAACTTGGAAATAGTTTCCTCTGATCTTGCAAATAAGTCAAACTTGTCAATATAAAAAATTTCTAAATTTACATATTCCTTTTACTCCAGTTTTTAAGAAACTTTTCAAATATCTCTTTCAAATTTTAGTGATTTTTTTTAGTGTATTTTGCTCGGGTTTGTTAAGGACCATAAACCTCCTTTGATTTTGGGAAAAGTTAAAGGAATCCTCCAGCATATTTTAAAGTTTGGACTGATGCTACACTATTGTTTACCGAATAACTCACAATTGTCTGGAATTAAATCAGTACAAACAGCATGCTAAACCACAAATCAGTACAAAACATGGTAACTGGGTTTTTTCAACTATTCCAAAGATAAGTAAATTACATCCTCGCAAGTAATTAAATAAATACATTTTTTTAAAAAACATACTCATTCAATGTTACAGGAAGGGGAGGCAGATCTGATATTAGAGATGTGCCAATATGACGTTTCCAGTTCTTATTTCAGGAAGTTTGTTCTTAGTTAATCACAGTATGTTCTTGCTGTGATTTATTCATTCTGGTCATGATCGGAGGAGCGAAAGATGTATGGGGATTTGTCGGGGGTGCTGGATTTTGGAAAAAATGTGGGCTTATATATAGGGGACTATATGTTTGAGATGTATCGAGGACCACTTCAGCAGCGGAATGGAGTTAGCGAATGTAGCCACAGCTATCAGTGCAAAAATGACCCAGCCACTCAACCAATTCAACCGAAGTATGCGTAGGTTGAAACATCAGGCTTGAAATGATTTGCCCTGTTTTTTCTTTTAATTGCAAATAAACAGCTTTCACAGCTTGAGTTTTCACTGCCCCTGCACGAGTCCTACAGGAGTCCTTGCCAACGCCATGAAAACTGAAGGAAAAAATACATTAACCTTTAACAAAATTACACAAATCCACTTCAACTATTTTCTGCAAATTGCCCTTATCCATTAACACGCTGAGGAAACAGGAGGGAAAAGCTGAACTGAATTACAGTAAACTCTTATCAAATCTCAGGGGTGTGGAGTGTAATCGTCCTCTTGTTCACATCTGAGCTGCAGCTGACAGTATGTTTGAAGTTAATTCTCTTGAACACTCTGTAGTAGTTGATTATAGCTCCATTATTTATTTGTTTATTGTTTCACACCTGGCATCACGGCCCAAACACCTTCTGGAAGAACTCAAGTCTTCAGCTTCTTCTAGAACAGTGTTTCTCAACCTTAGCAACTTTAAGCTATGTGGACTTCAACTTCCAGAATTCCCACAGCAACCATTCCAATGTTGAAAAACACTGTTCTAGAAGGTGGCCAGGGTTGAGGCTAATCTGACCTCAAGCACTCTGCTGTTTGGTGATATATATATATTCTCACTTACAATATGGCTTTGTCTATCACAGTGGTTTTCAAAGTGTGGTCTGGGAAATCATACCTAAGCATTTTAACTTTTCTCAGTTTTAATTTCTAATAGGGTACACCTTCACAGATGTAATCCACAGCTCTTTGGGATCCTCAATCATTTTTAAGAATGTAAAAGGGTTCTGAGACCAAAGTGTTTAATTACCACTGGTCTATCATGAAGACCCTTTCTAAACAGGGCATAGAAAGCTCTCGCTTCTGCAAGATTTCCACAAGGATTTTTGTTCAGCTATGCAAGCACTTCCAATCCTTCATGACCCAATGAGCATAACTGTGCTGAGATTGTCTGTTAGCAATTGCTGCTTTCAGTTTTTGTAAATGCTTGTGTCATCAGCGATAGCATCTAGCCAATCTGTCTTCTGTCACCATCTTCTTTAAATGCCTTTTATTTTTTTTCAAGCATTAGGGTCTTTTCCAATGACTCTTGTTATATATTCGTATAACATATATATTTGTATAACAGTCATATATACATATATGTATGTGTGTGTATATGCATACCCACACATACATATATAGCAACAGCTTTTATTCTCTCTTCTATCACCTTCAACAAGAGCTTTCTTAAGTCTTCTTTGCTCTGGGATGAGAACATTTGAACTATTTAAGCTTTAGCTTCATTATTCATCCTTCCAGTGACCAGTCTGATTTTATTTTATCTATTAGTGAAGGCTTAGTTCTTCCTGGGTCCAAAGTATTCTCAAAAAAAATTCTTCCTGATCATTCAGTTTCCATTTCCATATTTCAACTGAGAAAACCACAATGTTGATCATACCTAGTTTTGTTGTCCATGTGAAATCTCTGTGCTTCAGTATTTTATCTAGATCTGTCATACACTTTCTTCCAAATGGCAATGGCTAGGTAGGCAGTGCCTACAGTCACTACTTCTGAGAACTTTTCAGCCTAGGATAATAAAACCTGTTACCATTTCAATTTCTCTGTCCATGTTCATTGGTTGGAATGGTCTGTTGATTCTGTCTATCTATCTATAACATCATGCATACCCACACATACATATATAGCTACAGCTTTTGTTCTCTCTTCTATCACCTTCAGCAAGAGATTTCTTAAGTGTTCTTTGCTCTGGGATGAGAAAATATAAGATATAAATCTAGCAACAGCAAAAAACAAAAACAAAAACCACAATGCAACACATTTATAAGATAGGAACAGAAGAAACTGGTAGGGTCATTGAGAATGCTTCTGAGAAAGTTTTCCCCCTGCACCTTTGGACTCAAAGATTCTCTTTTTGATACCAAATTGTGAAAGTACTACTGCAGTTATTCTTTCCCAATCTTCTGAACAGATAGATGGGAAGACCCAGGATTTTGAACCATCAACTAGTAGGTCATAAAAATGACTTCCCCTTTAAACTATTTCCAAGCTATTCAAAGTAGACAATTTAAGAATTCCACCCAGCATTTATTCATGCACACTCACAAACAGATGTAAAATCATCTGGATATAGCATGTCTCAGTTTGCAAGTCCTCCTTCAAGAATGATTGGTAGGCTTTTAAAGAGAAAAGATCAGCTGTGTTTACCAGCTAGCCAGGAAGGGGGTCCAAATACTTCCTTCTCATTATGACTTAAATAAGGCCATGATTACAGTCAGCATGAGGCAGTTATGAATGTGGCTGCCTGGGGTGTATGCGCCAAGGATGGAGAAGAGGTATATATATATAAGGCAAGCAAGCATATTATCCCACACCAAAGAAGATATCAGAAGAACTACTTCCATCTTTGACTATCAATCAGGTAACATACCTACAGAATGAGCACAGTGCATCTTCAACAATACATGTCCAGATTTTTCCTTAGTTTGTTTCTTTTTGCATTAGCAGAGCTACTCCATTGTCTGCAGATTGTGACAGAATGCAGACGACTAGGATGCTGATTTCAAGTTGCTTCCTGTTGCTCATCTCTTTATCAATCTGCTGTGCCCAACATTGGTCATATGGCTTCCAACCTGGTGGGAAGAGAGATGTGGAAAACCTAATAGACTCCTTCCAAGAGGTAAGTTAGCTTTCAGTAATTTCAGTCACATTATGATGTGATGTGTTGAACCCAGACATGATAAAACTGGGTGTTTCTATTTTCTGAAGCTGGGGCTGCTCATTCTGGTATGAGTTTATAAGGAAAAAACAGGACAATTGCTGGAGGGGAGGAGACACATAACAATGTACACCAGATCCTTCTATCAAGGAATATTTCTGTGGGAGAAGGTTGGCTTCTGGAACATGGCAATCAACCAGCAACTCTTTCCTTGGGGAACACCATCAGGACAGGAGGTGTTGGTTATATGCTATTGTTGGAGGGTGTTTGGAGCCCCAGAGTATGTCCCACTGATTACTTACACTATTGGTCTTTTCCAAATGGGGAGAAGGCCCTAAACAATTCCACTGCACAGCCTCTGAAGTTTCCATCCCAGACTTGGGCTTTCCATGATTTCACTTGAGTTCCTTTTCTCCAACACAGATTGAAAATGAGATGGAGAAAGCTGGGAAGCTGCAGCCCTTTGAATGCAATGTGCCACGCCAGCATTTCACACTCAGAGGACTGACAGGTGGTCTTGTAAGTAAGCTCCCTTTTAAATGTCACCTTCAGCTTTCCAGTATTTTCCCTTCCAGTACTTTAACAACAGCAGAATGTAACTGTCAGCTCTACCAGGTAGACCAGAGCAGGAGATCAATTCCACAGGAAGGCTAAAACTACTTGTATTGAGATTGGCGATAATAACAGAATCTTGCAAGTCTGATTGTGCTGGACCTCCTCCCCCTTCTTATACTCCTGTGAATTAGTGAGATGTATGGAGTCTTTGGGGTTCTCTGGTTCTTTTCTTGCAAACGTTTCAGTGCCCGGCTAGGTAACAGCTTCAGTGCTAAAATGGGATGAGGTTTGCTCTCTATTTATGTGCTGTGGCCTGCCTTGCCAATGCTGGTGGGGGTGGGGGTTTTGTTTTACTCCTCTGGTAGTTCCTTGATTAGGGTATTGTTCACTGCTTGATCCTGTGCCTGGTGGTGACCTTTGCTTATCTGGGTGATGATTGCTGGTGATTGAATGCTGGTGA